TCAAACTAGAATTATATTACTTTGGTCCACCTAAGCATAATTACTAGTAGTTGTTTTCATTATTTTGTTTAATTTCATTTTTGATAAATTGTCCTAAATCAAACTAATAATTAGTTTCCTTATAAAGTATGCCATTGGTACCTACTTTACCATATGATTATTACTACTTTTGAATAACAATTACAAAAATATTAAATTTTCTTTTAACCAAATTTCTTATAATAAACCATCTACTAATTTCTTTGATTCCTATAACTTTAAAATAGCAATTGAGGTAAACTGTACATGTTTGGGAAATCAAAGACAAAAAAAAAAGAAAAAAAGAAAAATGGCACTATTATGCTAATTGAAGAAGTTTCAACTACGATATTGAATGCCTGACATTGGTAGTAAATAGAATGGTATAGAGTCTAATTTTCACATTTTTTATATACTTTATATCTATTTTTAAAAATTTCATATTTTTATAGTTTATTGAACTTTCATTTTACATTTAGTATATTTTATTTGCTATAGAAATTTTTTGTTTATATTTTTGATGATTCACCCTTCCTAAAATAAAATCTTGGGTCCATCATTGACTAATACAATCCTCATAGTGACTGCACAATTCGAATACACGATCATTTGTGAGAAAGTTGTCCATCCTTATCAATTGAGCCTTCTGTTTGCCATTTTGTATTATTTAGTTTACTGGTTTTGAGAGAGATTATTCATGTGAGATGCTTATATTTTTTTCTTTTTTTTTAAGTAGGGGCACGTTTCAATGCCCAGTAGCAAGCTACCATGACGAGCCTTTCCTTCAAAAAATTTATTTAATATCCATGAGCCATGGGTTAGCATATCAAAAGTAAAAGAATCAGAACAAAATAACTATGTGAGTAGAGATAAAATAATAACTATGTGAGTAGAGATAAAATAGAAGAATAATTGAGTTAGTTTAAGGCATCGTTCGCATTGAGGGAATGGAAGCGAAAAGAAAGAAGAGAAATTGGAGGAATTTGATTTTTAATGTTTGGATTGATTTTTAAGGAGGGAAAAGAAAAGATAAGGAGGGAATGGGAATGAAAGAGTCTAGTTGTTTTGTTGAGTTTTTAATTTTCGCCAAAAGTGGGCAGGAACGGAGGGAAATGAAACTAAATTAATTGAAATAATTTTAAATTTTTTAAAAGATTATTTTTCCATTTTTTTTCTTGTAAATTAACACTTGATCTTTTCTTTTCTTTTCTTTTTCCTTCTTCAATCCAAACAAAAATTCAATATTTTCTTTCTTTTATTTTCATACCTAATCCGAACAAGATAAATGGAAATGACTCTTCTCTATCTCTTCTCTTTTTTTCCATTGGTAAATGTGGTGTATGAGTTATAAAGTCCGATCAATTCTAAAGAGAAGAAGGAAAGTCTGAAGGATGTGTGTAGGACTATAGGGTTCTCCAAAATGTTGGTATTCACGAAATTCCTTGCCAAATTGGACTCATAATTCTTATAGATACTAGATGATGATTATTTATGTAGTAGAATGCTACATGCTTCGGGGTTTCTATTTTAGCAAGTTAGGGGTTTGGCTTGCTAGACTTGGCTGCCCTGGCCGCCCATTCCTCCTCTCAGGGGAGGGGGCTCTTCTAGCCACAGCTCAGGCCAGTGGTGGATGGTCTTTTACAGAGGTGGTGGCATCCAAAGTAGTGGGCTTCCATTCCAAATCATTCTCATCTCTTTCTTCCAATTCCATGGAATTGAAAGTGAAAACTGTGGTGTCTACCCACCGTGGGGAACCAGCGGTGTAGTTCACCATGATGGATATAGAACGCGTTGCTCTTCCCTTCCAATATGCTCTGATGGGTAAATTCTCCAAAGGGCGACCACCTATGGAGGAGCTGTGCAAATTCTTCCATGCGATGGATTTAACTGATCAGTTTTCTATGGGTTTGTTGGACAGAAGGCACATATTGATTCGGTTGACGTCTGAAGCTGATTATTATAGAGTTTGGGCTAGGGGAATCTGGTATATCAAGGCAGTGCCCATGCGAGTTTTTAAATGGTCCATTGATTTCCATGTGGATCGAGAAACGTCTATTGTTCCCGTTTGGTTTTCATTGCCGAAGCTGTCGGTGCATCTGTTCCATAAGGAGTGCTTGTTCCCTATAGTGGCTTGTCTGGGGCAGCCTCTTTGTGTGAATGCCGCAATCGCACAGGGATCGAGACCGAACATTGCCCAGGTGTGTGTTGAAGTTGATCTGATAAGCCATGTGTGGGTAGCGTTTGGTGACATAGTAGGTTTCTGGCAGCCTTTGGTGCCAGAGCAACTACCGAGATATTACGGGCATTACTTTCATAAGGGACATGGTGAGGTGGAGTGCAGAATCAAAGGGAAAGTCGCCAAAGGGAGAGATTCCGAGGGTGACACAAGCGTAACAGTAGAGGGTGAACCTAGCGGCTGAATATGCGGGAGGAAAAGGTAAGGTGGGAGCATGCGATGGCAATACAGAGGCTGGGTAGGGGGGTTGTACCGTCTAAGATGGCCTTTGCTGATGGGGACGAAATACTACCAAGGGTGGTCGCGCACTTGCCTCCAAGTGTGGAAGCGCCGGATGCTGCCACAATGGTGCGGCAGATGTCAGGTCCAGTTATCGCGAAGGCGGGGGGTCATCTGGAGGAGAAGGATAGCCATGAGGATAGAGCGGTGGAGGGCTCGTGTTGCTTCAGCCGCAAGAGGCAGCTAAGGCACAGCAGCAGGAGGAATAGGTGCCAGATAGTAAGACCGAAGGTGGGGGGAGCAATCCAGCACCCATGGGTGGCGTCGGGCTGCTACGCCACCCGTGGCGGTGATAGGGAAGCAAGGTGCTGGGATCACGGTGATGGTGCCACGCGAGGGGGATTGGGCTACCTTGGGCAGTGGTAATTTGAGTGATGGGCAACATGGGGAGGATGGAGTGGAGTCCGTTGAGATGTGGCATGCATGGCATTCAGACGAGGAGCGGAAGGAGGCAGAGTTTTAGGAGGTTCAGCGAAAGACGAGCAATTTGTCTCCTAGGGGCGGTGGTCACAGTGTACAAGCTCGAGGAGAGGTGTCGCAGATGGAGGCATTGAATCTGGACCTGGTGAGGCTCTCTAACAATATTGCTCAGGAGAATGCAGGACAGGGGAGGTCTTCTAAGGTACGAGCATGAGGCCTCCGTGCTGGAGTTCCCTCGGATAGAACCTTATGATCTATGCTTAACGTTTCAAAAAATGCTTTCTCTGTCTTGTCCCATGCTTAAGTTGCTATTTTGGAATATACGTGGGGTGGCTCGTCTTCCTAACTTGAAACGATTGAAGAAGATTATTAAATTACATTCCATACAATTGGTAGTCGTTGTTGAATCTAAGACGAGTGTACAGAACATTACAACCATTAGAATGAAATTGGGGATGAATTGGGGCATGGCTAATCAAGGGGGGACTATTTGGCTATTTTACCGCTCTATATTTACTTGTGCTTTTATAGGGGAGTCTCCCCAACACTTAACGGTCCAGGTACAGTCCCATTTACTTCCTTCTCCCGTGATTTTGTTTGGTATTCATGCTAAGTGTACGGCTTAGGAGAGAGAGGTTCTGTAGGATGACTTATTACAAGATAAGCCGGGTTCAACTCCCTAGTTTATGGTGGGGAATTTTAATGTGATTACCAGCAAGAGGGAGAACAGGGGTGGTTTGCCTTTTAGAGCCTTGGAGAGCAAGGATTTCTTGCAGTTTATGGCAGAGGCAGGGGTGGTTAATGCGGGTTTCTCGGGTTCGAGGTTTACTTGGTATAAAAAATGCTCAGGTACAGCACAAATTTGGAAACGTCTGGATAGGTCGTTGGTAAATGGGGCGGCTTTGGAGCTACGACACCAGGTGACGGTTCAATATTTGAGGCGGGATCCGTCGGATCAGTCGCCGTTGCTATTATCGGTGGTTACGCGATTGGATGACAAGCCCAGGCCCTTTGCGATTCCTGAACTTCTGGACCATGCACAGGGAGTTCCTGGAGGTGATTAGAGACTGCTGGGCGTAGCCAGTGAGTGGGCCTCCCATGCAGATATTGGCACTGAAGCTACAGGGCGTTAAACAGGCGCTAAGGCAATGGTCGAAGCACTCATTCGGTGACATTTTCATGGCAATTAGGAGCGCAAAACGGGAGGTCATGGAGGCGGAGATGAGTTATGACTTAGATTTGACGGGTCTACTGCGGAGCGAGTTACATCATGCACGAGCAAGGCTGAGGTACGCCCTGAATGTCGAAAAATGTTTTTGGCGACAGAAGGCACGGGGTGAAGTGGCTTCGAGATGAGGATAAGAACTCCAAGTTTTTTCACTCCGTGGTCACCGAGAGGAGGCGGAGGGCTGTTATTCATCGAGTGAGAGGGCAGACGGGGAGTGGATTGAGGAAGAGGCATAGATAGGAGAGACTGCCATGAGCTTTTTCCAGGAGCTGCTCATGGCAGACAGTAGTCAGTCGCTCCAGCAAATCATGGACCTCATTCCGGGGTTAGTCACTGCCCAGGACAACATGCTGCTATCTGAGATACCTACATTGGAGGAAGTTAAGGGTATAGTTTTCGACCTGGATGAGAAGAGTGCGGCAGGTCCAGACGGGTTCACAGGGAAGTTCTTGACCTTCGTCTGGAAGGTGATAGCCGAGGATGTGTACCGGGCGGTGGTGAGTTTCTTCTGCGGGGTAGAGATTCCTAGGAGTATCATGGCCACTTCAGTTGTGCTATTTCCGAAAGTGGATAATCCTCAGGATTTTACTTAGTTTCGACCCATCAGCCTGTGTAATTTTGCTAACAAGATTATATTGAAGCTATTAGTGGAGAGATTGGTGAAGGTACTACCCCGGCTCATTTCCCCTTAGTAGAGCGGTTTTGTGAAGGGGAGACAGATTACGGATAATTTTTTGCTAACCCAAGAGCTGTTGACTGGTATCCGGAAGCCTAATCGGGGAGGGAATGTGGTGATTAAGTTAGACATGATGCAGGCCTATGATAGGGTCTTATGGCCTTTCCTGTTGCAAGTGCTTCGCTGCTTTGAATTTTTCAGTTCTTGTAAATGGGGATTCATATGGTTTAATTAAGTCGACTCGGGGTCTTAGGCAGGGGAATCCCATTTCGCCGGCCCTCTTTGTTATTGGAGCTAAGGTGTTGTCTCGATCCCTAAATACGCTGGTTACACAGGGACAGTTCATCGCGTTCAAAGTCCCTTCCAGGTGCCAAGCTAGCACGCATTTTGCGTATGCCGATGATGTGATCATCATCTCCAGCAGAGGGAGATCCTCTCTAGCCCGGATCAAGCGGGTGCTAGACGAGTATAGTTTAGCCTCAGGGCAGCGTATCAACTCCTAGAAAAGCTATTTCTTGACTCACCAGGAGTTTCTGCCATGGCAGGCTGCAGCGATTGATCAGATCCTTGGTTTCCAAAAACGAGTTTTCCCGGTTCGTTATCTTGGATGCCCGTTGTACGTGGGCAGGAGAAAGAAAGTCTATTTTGCGGATATGTAAAATGCAGTGGTAGCTCGTATTCTATCTTGGAAGAATCAACTTTTATTCGTGGAAGACCAAGTGGCGTTGATCCAAAGTATTTTAGCCTCAATGCTGATACATTTAGTTGCAGCTGTGTCCCCTTCTCAAGGGGTACTGGTGGCCTTGGAGAGGTTGTTTGTCGATATCTTGTGGGGGTCATCAGACTTTGGTTTCAAGTTCCACTGGTTTGGGTAGAAGGACCTCTGTCGACCCTGGGAGGAAGGAGGGATTAGGTTGTGGAGTCTGAAGGGCGTGCATGATTTGTTCTCGGTTAAGCTCTAGTGGAAGTTCCGACAACATCAATCGATTTGGGCGGATTTCATGCCCAGGAAGCATTGTGCGAGTCTGCACCCGTGTTTGGATGAGGAGAGTCAATGGTGCTCTCTTACGTGGAAGAGGATGGCTGCAGTTCAGCAGGTAGGGGAGGACAATATCGGTTGGGTAGTACGTCAGGGATCGATAGATTTTTGGCACGACAACTGGTTGGGGCCTGGAGCACTATGTGGCAAGGTGGAGGTATTTTTTGATCATTAGGTTGCAGATTTTGTTATTGGGGGGTCTGGAATGTTGCCATACTTTATCAGTACTTGGATGCCAGGCTGGTTGGGCGAGTTCTACAGGTTGCTCCCCCATCTTTCCGAGGACCAGATCATATGGTTTGGATGCTTATGACATCTGGCACTTTTTCCACGTCCTCGGCCTATTCCCTCGTCTGTCAAGTTGATAACCATTCTCAAATTTATGCCTCTGTCTGGCAGCACGGTCTTCCTATTAAGATTTCTTTCTTCATGTTGAGGCTGCTACAAGGCAGGATACCTACCATGGATAAATTGGTGAGGTTGGCCTCTGTGGCCTGTCCCGATGTTGGTGTTGTCGGGAGCCGCAGGAGGAGAGGCTAGAGCATGCTTTTTGTTCGGGAGAAAGGGCGCGGCTAATTTAGCGCTATTTTGAGATTCATCCTGGGGAAATGGTGGGGGTGCACACGCTCCGGCATATGGTTTGGTTTTGGAAGTTAAGGAGAGGAAGCAATGAGTTTTTGAAGTTCTTGTTTTGTATACTACCGTCGGTGATTTGCTGGGAATTATGGAAGGCGAGGAATCGGGGGGATGTTTGAAGGCTAGCAGATGTGGGTCAGGGATTCGGTGAGCCAGATTGTCCATTGTTGTTAGAGATATGTCAGGCACGGTTTCCGACATTGCAGTAGTTGGAAGCTTTGTGGGTGTTCTCAGGGGAACCCGGGTTTGAGTGGAGGGGGTGGACTGGTACGGGATTGTCATGGGGACTTTGCGTTCAGTTTTTCAGAATGTTTTGGTACCCTGATTAGTCTGCAGGCTAAGTTGCGAGCGCTCTTGGTAGGGGTTAAACATTGTATTGCCCGAGGGTTCCTGGATTTACATTTGGAGGCAGATTCGCTTACACTCATTCGGATTGTTCAAGGGGCGAGTGCTTGTCCATGGGAGCTACAGAGGGAATTGGAAGACCTGCTTCAGTTTAAGCAGTATTTTCAGACGATTTCTCACTGTTACAGAGAGGCGAACGCACCAGCGGATCATCTGGTAAATTTGGATATGGATTTGAATGGGGGACAATTGTTTCATTCAATGTTAGATCTGCCTCGGCTAGTCCCAGGGGCTATTCAGATAGATACGTTGGGTATTCCATCGGTCCGTAGAAGGGTGGTGAGATATGTGTGATTGTGAACCTCGTGTACTCATGATTCCATATTAATAAAATTATTTCCTTTGGTTAAAAAAAAAACTAAAAGATGCAAAATAGGTGGCAGGGTAGGAAAAAAATCACAACACCTGTTTTAGTTGAGTCAGATCTACACTGGAGCAAATTTTTATAAAAGTGATATTTGATTCTATCCAAAAAAAAAAAAGACTCATCATTCTTCATACTTTTTTTTTCTCTTTATTTTTTGCTCCTAATAATTAGAATTAATCTTATATATACTGATAACGTATACATTATCATAATTGGATACATGACAAAGATGCAAAATTTAGATTTTAAATTGGAATATGAATAGTTGTCATGCATCTAGTGATGATAATGTGTATGCTAGTAATATATATAAGATTAATCTTAATTAATAAGGTACTATTTATGTATTTGTCTATTATGGATACTACTCGTAATATGTAATATATAAACTAATGATTAAATGAAATTGACAAGCGCACTACTGATTCCTTGAATTAATTTTGGTAGGTTCTCATAAGAACAACAAATTTTGAAGTTGATTATATAATAATCTACACATTAAAAGCAAGGAAAACTATCAATTGAAACAAGTAATAAGCAAAAAATTTCATGGAATCACTCTCTTAAAGTGTGAGTGAATCTATGGCAACATTTGTGTGTTTATATCTGGATAATGGTTTTGGTTATTGTCCATTTAAATGCATGCATTTATTGAATAGTTCTAAATAGATTGGATGAATTCCATCCACTATTCATTGAACCAAAACTAATTACCAACTATTTATATATTTTGCCACGTTGACAAGAGATAGAAACATCAACTTAATAAAAGTTTGAGAAAAGGGGATTCAAGATGTTTAGGTAAATTGAGGGATTGGTGGTGAAGAAAAGTAAAACAAAGACCATCTTATTAGGGAGGTCAATAACATAATGTTGAAATCTTTGTATTAAGTAGTGTTGCATCATTCATCCTTTTAAGTGTGTATGAGTGTTGTATAAATCAAATATGACACTAAATATGCTAATGCATCTAGGCTTTTATCTCCAAATTTTATTGGCATTGAATGAAGAGGTTAATGATCTTTATCAATCAATTAATTAATTGGCAGGAGAGATCTTTTTAATATCTTCATCAATTAATTGATTATTTTGTTTAACACCAGCTCCAAAAGTGTTTTAAATTGAATTAACCAACTGAATTGAATTGATCTGATATAATCCAATAAATAAGAAATTATTCAACACTCAGATAAAACTTGAACTAAGTAAACTAAGTGAATTGGAATTGTTAAAACAGAAAACTAATGGGCAGAATACACACACATATATCACAAGTGTAGTTTTTATTTATCAAACTGTAACTTTATAGTGTGTGGACGAAAGCCTATCTTTTTACACTAAATGCTTCTTTGCATTAGGAGGTAGGAATGATCATTTCCTCATCACAAATATGCTTAAAGCATAATGCCTAAGATTTATACATACATCCATATTTCTAGTATTATATATACAATAAGAACATATTTGAAACAATTTAAGAAGAGCTTTTATATCTTTCATGAGTGTTGATAGGTTTATGTCTTTGGCAGCCCCTCGCTAGATTAGGGAGATCAGTTATTTTCCTCTAACTGCAATCTTGACTCTTGTTCACCTTTTCTCCAAAGCCTTAATCATTGTGGCTCTAATTATTTTAGATTCATCCTATAGTTCATTGTTCAAGTTTCTTACAACTAAGGCCCATTCCGCTATGGCCTGGTTTCCCTCCTTAGTCACTACAATTCCAATACCCAGTTGGTGTGAGTTGGTTTCTTTTTTCGCCATTGCTACCGTCATTGTTAAGCAGTTGCCTGCTACTTCCAATTGTTCATCTTCTTGTCTTGCTTCTTCTGTTTCTTCTGCACTCATGTTTTTTCATTTATTTTGTGCCTTATTATATTCCAACCACTCACTCTTGCTTTGTGAATGATTTTCAGACCATTCTCTTCCTTCTCATTGAATTCCCTTTTGCTCTTGACCTACCATATTTGCCACAGCATGTTGACTATAAGTGTTAAGTGGTCTTGTCCTTTGCCTTTGGTTTTTGCTTAGATTGCTGAAACCTAGCATTTCTTGAAACAATTACTTAGGCCCTCTATTCCATTCCACTGGATAGGAAATATTTTCCATGCCTATTAGCTACATTGCAGTGGAAAATGATATGCTCTATAGTTTTTATTTCCTCCCAACATCCATTGTACATTGGGTATCCTTCCTTCTAAATATGACCTCATTCAATGGTAGGATGTGTTTATACATTTCCAGACAAAAATCTTGAGTTTGTGCTTTATGTGTAGTCTCCATGGTATCTTCCATAGTTGTATGTTTGTACTCTCCATGCTTGTTCCTTCTATCTCTTCTCTTCTCTGCTTATCCTTCATGTCATTATGTCTTAACAGCTTGTAGGGACCTTACTGTGCAGTACCCATAGTTGCTATGCATTAGGATTCAGTTGTCCTCCCAAATCCTAATACTCTTTCAGTTCCAACTCTTTTCCTCACACCACTCTCCACTTCTACTCTCGTTGCCATTATGCTTTGCCAGAACCAAGATGCATTCTATGGTTCTTTGCATTTCAAAATGGATTGCTTGGGAAAATACATTGCCTTTAGAATCTTGCTCACTAATAGGTTTGGAAGAGTACCTTGTTGAAGTATTGTAGGTCCCTGAATCCAAGTCCACTATGTTTTTTTTCTTGAGTTAGTTTGCTCTATGAACTCCAATGAATCTTCTTCTTTCCCTCCACCTCACTCCACCAACAGTTGACTGTTATGCTGAAAATTCCTTGCATAGTTTAGCTGACAACATGAAACATGACATTGCAAAGATTGGCATGGTCACAGTCACTGCTTTCAACATGATTTCTTTGCCTGCTGCACTAAGCAATTTATTTTTCCAATTATTCAGTCTTTTTTTAACACGATCTCTTATGAAACCAAATATTTGATCCTTTGTACTTGTAACTACCACCAGATATTTACCTTGAGAAACTAGTTGGATACTTCCTGGAGCTGTACATACACTTTCCTTCAATCTTGTTTCTGTATTCTTGCTAAACAAGATTGAAGATTTCTTCAGGTTTATTAGCTGACCCGAGTCGTTCTCAAACTAGTACAATATATCCCTTAACTTATGAGCTTCATTCTTTCTAGCTTTGGAAAAAACTAAGGTGTCATTAGCAAAAAAATAAATGTGTTAGAGCAGGCCCTTGTCTGCTGATTTTCAGTCCACTTATCACCTTCATTTCTACAGCCTTCTTCAATAGGTTGGAAAAGCCCTCAAAGAATATTAGAAATAAATATGGTAACAAAGGATCTCCCTGTCTTATTCCTCTGTTAGGCTTGATATACTCCTTAGGTTGTTCACTAATGTTGAAAGAATAAGTAACTATAGATATGCTGCTTATTATCCATCCTATCCATATGGAGTTGAACCCTATTTTCTCCATTACTATCTTCAAAAAATGGCATTCCACTCTATCATAAGCTTTTGACATATTGGGTTTCATAGCCATAAATCCCATTTTCTCTTGCCTTTTGTTTTTTAGGTACTGCATGGATTCATGAGAGATAATGATGTTGTCTAAAATTTACTTATTTGGGACAAATGCAGATTAATTTTTACTGATGCAGTAACTAAGGTGTGAGGACCCGAAATTTTTCTTATTTTATTTTATCGAATATTAGTAGTTTGTTTAACTATTTATTTACTCATTTTTCTCCAAATTATTTATTTCGATCATTTCAAATCCATTTATATGGAACGACGCCTCTTGTATATTTTTAAAAGCGTTTTGTTGGAAAAATTCACTCTTCGAAAACTCGTTTAGTTCGGAACAACGAGTGCACGTTTTTCGAGACTATATTTGAATCGAGAGTGTATTAATATTGGAGAATTAAGAACGATCAATAATAGATTAAGAAAGGATAATTGAGGAATTAATACTCAATTCACGTGAGAACTCGTAAAATTATTATTTTTAAACCCCTAATTTTGGCTCAATTAATTATTTATTTGGATTTTTGCCCGAATATTATTTTCTATCCTTATTAGACCTAAATATATGGTTTTATAGCTTCGTTATATTTTTAAAGTGTCTCGTTTCAAAAAAATTATTTTCTTAGAAGCTTGTTTAGTGAAAAAGTGAAAACGTGTC